AAAACTTCATCTTGTATTATAATAATATAATTGTACTGACTTAGAAAATTATAAAAGATCTTTGCTATAAAAGATCCTTGCTTTGAATAACTATTGTATTTTATAAAGTGACTAAGAGAATTTTAAAATCTTCATTTAAGTAATACTTATAATAGCTAAAAGATTTTAAAAATTTGTCAAAAATAAAATCACAATGCAAACTAAAAGAATTATTTTCAAATATATAAATATTTAAAATGCATTTAGAGAAATAACAAGAAATAATAGAAAAATAATAAGCAATTCTGAAAAAATAACAATTATTACTTTAAAATTGTTTTTTTTTACTAATTAGTAATTATAAGTTGAAAAATCTCATCATGTGATCATAAAGAAACATAAAATAATTAAAGAAAAATCTAATTGTAACAAATTATTATATAATATCAGAAAGTAGTCTGGTATTACTATCAGTTTTTGAAAAATATCAGTAAGTGGCCAAGTTTAGATTAGTGATAGTAAACAAAAGATAATATTATATATGATAGAAACAACAATAGATAGATAATTATAACAATATATACTAATTATATAAGCTCACAGATATTAATGTCTTTGAAAGTTTGTGATATAATTATAGTTGTAATAATTATAAAATAAAAATAAATAAATAAAATCGATAAGCTATCTTAATGATAGAAATATTGTAAGATAATATTAACAAGACTGTGAAGATATTTTCACAATGATTCAACAATTTAATAACAGACAATACAAGTAAGAAATACAATATAAATATGATTTACTTAATGACTTTTATTTATAAAAGAGAAATACTTCAGATCTAGTCTCTAAGTAAAAATCTGCAAACAAAACTTATTAATAGCAAAATAAATATAAGATATTTATATATTAAGGATATTTTGCAGTCAAAGTAGAATTCCTAGAATAAATTTCTTTAATATCAGGAAAAATTTATCTAAAGTATTTTATTATTGAAGTCATTGATAAAGCTTGTATAGTTTTAATTAAAGATATTATTTTGCTCTAACTGGTTAGCTTGTATTTAAAAACTTGTTAAAATACTGATTTAGAGCATTTATATTCTGAACTCAGTTTATACATATGTAATAATAAGCATGCTTGCATAAGCAATTCAATAAAATCTGCTTATCACTATTACTATTTATTAAAGCAAATACATAAATTACATTTAAAATATATAAAATTTTGTATATTTATTGTTACTATTTATTAAAGCAAATTCATAAATTATATTTAAAATATATAAAATTTGCATTATAATATTTATTGTATTTATCGCTATTATATCACAATAATTAATTTTAATTTAAAAAATTATACAACTGATTTTTGTTTATTATTACAATAGCAATTAAAAGTCTATTAATTAAAAATCACAAGCATTTTACTTATTTGATCGATTTCAAACTTGGTTTGAGCAGGAGGAGTTTAAATTTAATAATGAAAATTGTGTGATCACAAAAACTTGAGTTCTATTGAGTATAGACCCAAACAAGAGCTGAACTGAGTTTAGGCAAGCAGGATAACATCTCTATTAAAAGCATTGTATATGATATCTAGCATAATTATATATATATTGTGTTTTGAATTAAATCTGTATTAGATTAAATAAAAGTCTAAGTAAGAATTAGTAAATATATTTATTTTGAAATCTAAATCTGGTTATTATAAATAGATTATCTAGGTAGTTATATTTATGAATATAGTTTTATTATAGTTATTTATTTTCTAAATTTTATCTTTTTAAAAATATAATTTTAACTCTAATTTATAATTACTATATATATTTGGTTTAAAAAAATTAAATATAACTAATCTATTTTTTTTATATTTTAAAAATTCAATAATATTTCTTAAAATGAGTTTTAGTAAAGAAAATAAAGAAATATTAATACATTTACTTCTATTATAGAAAAAAATTAAAAAATCTTGGTGGGTGTTCAGAAGGTTCAGTTTGAAATTATTTTACTAAAAGTAAAAGAGTAAAAAAAGAAAAATATAAAACAACTTGTAATTTTTATAAAACGTGATAAAATCATGGTGAACTAATTGAATTAGAAAGTTATTTTTATTTTTTTATTTTTTTATAAATTTAATAAAATAATTTTAATTTATTTTATTAAAATATCAAAGTAACTAAATTTTAAATTAAAAACTTTATCTATTATTTAAGTTATATAAATTATTTATATAGTCAAACCTCTCTAAATATAACTTTATAAATACATACTTTCCAAATACAAGTACAGATTCTTATTCAAATATATACTTGATCTTTATAAATATAATTTTCTTATTATTCTCTAAATATGTATTTTAAAAAATATCTTTGATAAAAAAAGACAATCAATAAAATAATTCTATTTAATTTATAAATAAATATAAAAATTATTTATATTATATTTAATCTATAATAAAATTACTAATTATTAAAAATTTTTATTATAAAAATCTATATATTGTAATAAATATAATATGAATAATAAATAATATTATATATAATAAAAATATTTATTATATAAAAAAAAATTATTTATCTTTATCTTTTTATTCTTACTTTTTTTATTAATTTTATCTTTTTTAGTTTTGCCACAGTTTCACAGAGTTTTGCCAGTTTGCCATTTTAATTTTTTTTTGGTGAAATCAAAACTAGTTTTCGACTTTTGTCTGTAGCAAAACCTCTAAGTTTCACCTGTAAACACTAGCCAGAAGTACCAAGAATCCAGAAAGAACCTCCAAAAGTTGTCAAAAAAATCTCCAGAAGCTACCAAAAAATGCCAGAAATACTATAAATCCAGAAAAAACTACCAAAAAGTCATTAGAAAAACTTCCAAAATTCGTCAAAAAATGCCAAAGATATTAAGAGTCTAGAAAGAAACTCCAAGAATATCCAAAATCTGCTAAAAAATGTCGAAAGTACTGAGAATTCAGAAAGAAACACCAAAAAAAATCATCAAAAGAACTTCAAAAAGCCACCAAAAAATGTTGAAAGTACCAAGAACTTCCAAAAGTTATCAGAAGAAACCCTAAAAATTACCAAAAAAATACTAGAAGTGCTAAGAATCTAGAAAGAAACACCTACCTCTAAAAGCCATTGAAAATTGCCGGAAGTCTCAAGAATCTAAAAAAAAATATCAAAAAATTGACAGAAGAACTACCAAAATTCGCCAAAAAATACTGGAAGTATCAAGAATTCAGAAAGAATCTCAAGAAAAAACCCTAAAAATATCTAAAATTTGCTAAAAAAAACACTGAAAGTACCAAAAAAACACTAAAAAAGTTATCAGAAGAACTGCCAAAAAATGCTGGAAGTACCAAGAATCTAGAAAGAAACACCAAAAGTTATTAAAAGACTTTCCAAATAATGCTAAAAATACAAAGAATCCAGAAAGAACCTCCAAAAATCATCAGAAAAACCCCTAAAAGCTGTCAGAAGTACCAAATATCCAGAATAAATACCAAAAAATTGTTAGAAAAACCTCTAAAATTCGTCAAAAAACACTGAGAATTCAGAAAGAAACACCAAAAGTCGTCAAAAGAACCTTTAAAAAAATGTCAAAAAATGCTGGAAGTACCAAGAATTCAGAAAGAACCACCAAAAAGCTATTAGAAGAACCTTCAAAATTCATTAAAAAATACTAAAAGTATCAAGAAACCAGAAAAATCATTAGAAGAACCTCTAAAAAATGCCAAAAAATACTGAACTACCAAGAATCCAGAAAAAAATACCAAAAAGTCATCAGAAGAACCTCCAAAAGTCACCAAAAAATGCTGGAAGTATTATAAATTTAGAAAGAAATACCAAAAGGTCATCAGAGAAATCTTCAAAAGCCGCCAAAAAATGCCAGAAGTACCAAGAATTCAGAAAGAATTTCCAAAAGTCATTAGAAGAACTTCTAAAAAACACCAAAAAATACCAGAAGTACTAAGAATCCAGAAAGAAACACCAAAAAGTCAGCAGAAGAACTTCCAAAAGCTGCTAAATAATACTAGAAGTACCAAGAATCTCTAAAAGTCATCATAAGAACCTCCAAAAAATGTCCAAAAATGCTGAAGTACTAAGAATCCAGAAAAAACCACCAAAAAATCATCAGAAGAACCTCCAAAAGTCACCAAAAAATGCCGAAAGTACTATGAATCCAGAAAGAAATACCAAAAGGTCATCAGAGAAACTACCAAAAGCTGCCAAAAAAATGCCGGAAGTATCAAAAATCAAGAAAGAACTTTCAAAAATCATCAGAAGAACTTCTAAAAAATGCTAAAAAATGCCAGAAGTATTAAGAATCCAGAAAGAAATACCAAAAAGTTAGCAGAAGAACTTCCAGAAGCTGCCAAATAACACTAGAAGTACCAAAAATTCCTAAAAGTTATCAAAAGAACCTTCAAAAATGCTAAAAAATATCAAAGAACCAAGAATCCAGAAAAAAATACCAAAAAGTCATCAGAAGAACCTTCAAAAGTCACTAAAAAACACTGAAAGTACTATGAATCCAGAAAGAAATACCAAAAAGTTATCAGAAGAATCTCCAAAAGCTGCCAAAAAACACCAGAAGTACCAAGAATCCAGAAAGAACTTCTAAAAGTTGTCAGAAGAACTTCCAAAAAATGCTAAAAAATGCTAGAAATACTAAGAATCCAGAAAGAAATACTAAAAAGTTGGTAGAAAAACTTCCAAAAGCTGCCAAATAACGCTAGAAGTACTAAGAATCCAGAAAGAACCTCCAAAAAGTTGTCAGAAGTACCCAAGAATCTTCAAAAATCATCAGAAGAACATTTCAAAAGGAACTAGAGATCGTTAGAAGAACTTAAGAATTCAGAAAAACCACTGCAGAACGATGAAAAAACCACACTAATTAATGAATAAAACCACGTTAAAAAAAAACTACTATTAAAATGAAAACATCATCATAAAAGTGATGATCTAAAAAAAAGATGAAGAAAACATATTAACCAACAAAGAACCACTATTGAAAGCAAAAGATGTCAATATAAAGCGATGACTAAAAAATTAAAAATTACTTAAAACAATTAAACATTCGCGAATAATTTTAGTTCGCGTATAGAAATTCAAATTACATAGTCATAATCTTGTTTGGAACAAGTTAATAACTGGATTGTGCTATTTTTAGACTAGTTTTATTTTGTATAACAAAGTTATATTTATCCAATTATTTTAAAATTAATGATCTACCAAATTCAGCAGTTTTTACTTTTGACCGCCTAATTAAATAAAAAATTTAGCTAGTTTTAAAAATTGCAAAGAAAAGATTTCTAGAAGTATATATTAATTCTTTTTAATCACATTGTTGATAAACCAAAGCTTTATTACATTACTTATGAAAGTATAATTACTTTTATTTTATAAAGATTAACTATTGTTGCTGATTTGGTTGAAGCCCAAAAGTTTATAAATATTTACTAACCATCTGTCTTCAGAAAACTATATTTAAAATACTTAGTATCAAAATATAACTTGAATAAAACTAATTTACAAGTATGATTTCAAAATCTTTAAATACTATGAGACAAATAATATGTAGCAGTAATAATTTTGAGTATTTAATTCATTCTAAAAATAATACATTTTGGAATATAAAATATAAAATTTTAATTTACTATTATTTTATATATAGTCTCAAAATAATATTTGAATTAGTTTAAAATTTTGGTCTAATTTAAACTTAATTAATTTTTTTTTTTTGGTGTTAAAGTGACATCTTTGGTCAAGTACTTTATTATTGTTTGGATTACTTTTATAACTAGATGATCTATATCTATCGTACATATATTTCTATATACATAACCTCGATACAATACTCTTTAGTAGCTACCTTAGAACAATTTTATTCTCAGGGTAAACCTGCTAGAGCCTTCCGTACCCATAATCTGGCTGACCTAGGCTTTGGTTAATATATAACCTACTTCTGCCTTATGGAGTTTACCCAAACCCTGGTATCTACTTACAAACTATTACTAGTATCCCAGCTATCCTAAACTACCAATTCAGATGGCCTAGAAGGGCTGTAACCTGCTCCTGGTCCCCATGGTTGGGTTTTTTTCCTCTGGCTACTCTCTAGCAGCCTGGTCTTGCCAAGCACTTCGGTTCCATTCAGTTTTACTGGTTCTTCAAGTATCAATCTGTATGTAGCACCATTGAAGATCTGTGCTACTTCTTTATTTGAAACTTTTCAAGTGAGTGCTTACCGCCGTATTAGCCCTGTAGCTTTCTGCGATTCTGAAAGACTTATCTTGGGTTTGTACTGACTAAACTAGCTTGCATGCCTTTGTGTAACTTCTTATATTATACAAATGCCCAGAATCTTCCAGTTTTCAGCAAACCATAATTGATATGACCATAGTTACAAGGTCTCGAGTTTCTCTAGCTACAATGACAGTTACAGAATTTCATTTTTCTTA